TAACAATACGTATTTATTGCCAAGACTACACAGATGAATGTAATGATGTTTGGCGATTAGACCCCCCGGGGTCTAGATACTGGTGGTGGTGGAGGCATGAAGGGATTGATGGAGGTCGGTCTGAAGAGGAGTGGTTTAAGCTGGAGGTGGAAGGAGTGGAGGAGGGCTGCGTCGAGTCACCTGAAATGACAACTTTGGGGATGGGAGAGAGCAGATTTAAAGGTTTGACTATGCCAATGATTGGCTTGTGGAAATAGAGACGAAGTTATAGGTTAGCTGGGGAGGGAATGCCCAGATCACTGATTGGGAGGGGTGATATCATTTAGTAAAATGGAAATATGGGAATGACAGGATATAAAGACGGTCTTCCTGGTTGAACTTGCGCTGAGCTTCATTTCTTCTCTGTCTTATAATTCATTTATAGGTCACTGAGTGCTGTGCCAAATAACCACTTTTGGTATTCTAACTCAGTGTTTTTCAAAGTGGGGGCCCGACCCCCCGGGGGCCGCCAGGGGGGTCACTCAAAGTTTGAGGGAAACAGGTTTTTTTTTTTTTTTTTTAAGTTTGATCTTTTTTTTTTGTAATGTTATTAATAACTGCATATCTATCAATCTATGTGTCCTTTGATGCCAATCTTTTCATATTTTTTGTTTTTGAATCACACGACCGCCCTTCAAGCCAATCAGAATCGAGCTGCCGCTACTGCGAGTGAAAATCTGCTCAGCTTTTGGAGCAAGTGAGAGCTAGTGAATGTTTCGCTCTGCAGCTGGATGAGAGCACGGATGTAGCAAATGTCGCAGAATTGCTTGCGTACATCAGATTTATTTCAGAAGACAACTTTGTTGAGGAAATATTATTTTAAAGCACTGGAAGGTAGGACCACATGAAGAGACATTTTCCAAGTTTTAGATCATCTCAAACGGACTTGACTGGTCTCGTTGTGTGGGTGTGTGTTCAGATGGGGCAGTGGGGCTATGACAGGCGGAGTGACAGCTTCGATCAGGCAGAAGGCCCCAAATGTAGTGGCAACACACTGCATGCTCCATCGGGAGGCACTTGTACACATCATTTAAAAAAAAAATTACAACAGGAGGGTCCCCGCCAGAGGATAATGCTATATGGGGGTCTTTGGCATGGCAAAGTTTGGGAACCCCTGTTCTAACTGACTGCTGGTGCATATTTGAAGGCCTTGTGTTGACCCACATTAAGACTAATCTTTAGTCAGAAAGGATCCAGCGGCGCACATTACATGTCTGTTCCTCGCATCCTATCACATTAACGTCACTGAGAACATATTGATCCAAGAGTTTCTTAAGGATTTGTTATTCTAGATATTTCCCACATATTTTCAATATCTACCCCCAGTGATGAGGTATGAGGCGATTGTTTACAAAGAAATAAACAATACGAATAATCTAGTTGTGTTGACAGTTTATTTTAGGATGGTTGTAAGACGTCACGTCTTACAACCATCCTAAAATAAACTGTCAGAGACTGCAACTACTTCCAGAAATCTGCAAGACTTCTTGGTGTGTTTTTCTTCCATTAGGTTAAATGGCTGACAGCAGCAAAAGGTCAATAGTCAAGAAACTGACAAAAACAACTCTAAGAAATGGCTACACTATATATTTCATCCTTTGCTCAAAGCATATAGTCTCCTCTCTCTAGTCAAACATTCCATCCATTACTATACGCATGCACGTGGGTATTTGTGTGATTTATCAGGTAATTGGTGTGACTCAGTTAGTCTCCTGGGACCATTAGTGAGGATTACAGACCATTACCTTTACCAGCTCTAATATGTGGTGTCATTCAGCATTTCATGCAATTAAATCCAGTATTTCTACGATGGCCGGGCATTTTTTAAACAGTAACTGGAAAGAGATATTTCCAATTTAGGCTCTTCATTGATTGTTGCAACCTGCAATGTTCCAGAAGACTAGCTGATGTAGGAGGCGGATATCTTGCTGAGATGGGAACCGAGGAGGCAATATTACTTTGCCAAAACCATGCTCGCTGTTCGGAAGGGAAGTTCAGTTTAATTAGAGCAGTCCAATGTTGCTTTTATGATACCTGGAGGGGCTGTTTTTCATATTCATGAATATCAATGATTAAATGTTATCTTCAGTGATTATTGCAACAGATAAGAAAGTCACTAATTCCTCACTCATTGTGACAATACCAATTATAATCAAGATTTAGCATCTCGTTCTTTTTACAAGGGCAAACGTAAGCATTGACAGAGGGATTATTGTTTGGTTACTTGGAAATGACATTCATTTGAACTGAAATGTGACAATAACGCAATGATCATAGCAACATGGCAACCATGAAAAATGAAAAGTCATTGTTGATGGCAGCTCACAATATTACGAAGTGCCCAGCTTAGATGGTAAATCTCTCTAACAAGGACAATAACCCTTAGAACAATTTTCCTACCCCAATTATTCAATACCTGTACAATGTTTGTGGGATTTATTTTTTTCAGTTCAACTAGTGATTCATTAGTCCAGGAATTCACCAGTAACTAGTTAAACAGCTGGTGGAAAAATGATTTGAAAGAGCTCTCAGAGCTTCATATTAGCATTCTTCTGTCCATCTTAATAAATATATTAAATATATATATACATAATAGGAGTTTTTACAGCATATAGCACCTTGACCTGGTTTATAACTTAATGAGACATAATATAATCTCTCTTTACACAATATGGGACCTTTAAAAGATGTAGCCTATAGTCGGATTCATCAAAGATAAGATGGATAGAAAAACATAATTTGTTTGCTCTCGTCATCTTTGCTATCCAAACTAGATACCGGACCATTCACACCAGGGTGGATTGACAGTGTCTGTAGTTTCTTCTTATACCAGTCATAATAGGGCTGAACAGAAATGATTTATATTAAAGATGCCAAATAATCTTTGGTTGTCAGTGAGGGTTTCCACCTGTCAGACAGATGACAGCCCGGAAATGATTCTAATAGATGCCAATTACTTTTTTGGGATTTGTTTTTAATCAGCACCAGAGTACAGGGTCCTCTTTTTTTTAAATAATCGTCACTGTTGCATATAACAGCTCTGTGTGACAGATTAAATAGGAGGTAGCGAGTCCTTGGGCCTCGGCAGGAGTGCTGCAAGAAAAGTGCCAATTTAATTTTCAGGCTGTGTGCAAGCATATGGCCACTGACATTCATTACTGACAGCATGTGATTAGAAGGCCAATTTCCCCCACTTTAGGAAACTTTCAAGTGCACTCTGCAACACAGGCTTTGTATCCACACCACGGGAACATTGACAGGTATTTAACTTAAAAAGGTATACCTGGGAGAAACGTTCTTTGTTAAATATTTGTCTTAACCCTCCCGTTACATTTAGGGTCAAATTGACCCTTTTGAAAATCTACGAAAAAAGTGAAGTGGAGGCTAAAAGGGTTCAGAAATGTGTACACACACACACACACACACACACACACACACACACACACACACACACACACACACACACACACACACACACACACACACACACACACACACACCCACACACACACACACACACACACACACACACACACACACACACACCACACACACACACACACACACACACACACACACACATTTGGCTTGTTTCTAAGTGAACAGAAGAAGTGTCTCGTCTCTATTTATCAACATCAACCAATTGTAAAAAAAGTTTATGTTACTTTATGTTATGTTATGCAAAACTAATGTATTTTATATCAAGGTTTTTCCAATGTAAAAAACAAAATAGAAAAATGTGATTGATTTCATTGATAGTAATAAAAGGTACAAACAATGTACCAACAAAATCTGGATTTTGGGGCTTCTGACCATTTTTGGATAATTAAATCAACACACATGGTTCTCCAGAGGTTGGATGATACATTTCTATGAAACATAATTAAAGATAATTTATGAAATGCATAACAATTACAATACAAAATGATATCCTTCTGTGCCTCATTAACTGAAAGTGAAAAGGTCAAACTTGTGAACCAACAGCCGAACAGAAATAATTGACAGAGAAAATGTAAAATGATATCAAAGTATCACATAATTAAAATAAAATGCATGAAATGTTCAAGAATACATTTGATAAATATTGGAAACGTTTTCAACAATGATTAAGTACAGAAAATATGTTCACACTTTAGTTAATTTATTGGAAATAATATTAAAATGTTTATTGTATTTGGAAAATAAATATATGTAAGTTTAAGAGTTCAAAAGGTCAAACAATAAAAAACTCATTATGCTCTAAGTCTCTTTTTGCTGAAGGATATTGTTTAAAACGCTTGGTATAATGGTATAGTTATGAGAAATAACATGTTCTCTGTTTCTACATTGCAGTTGTGCAAATGGGAATGAGATGTTGTTATTAGCACAATACATCACTCTACTCTATTTCCCCAATAGGCTAACATTTTGGACCTTTACATAAAAATCTCGCTTTTTGTCAGACTTTCCTGTCAGTTCTATTTTGGTTAACAGAGCCAACTGTATGAACGTGACGTATTATCTCCAATCTTTTATGATTTTCATTAGCTTGGCCTGCTGTCGCACATTGAATAATGGCTGTGTTTACTGCCTCTGTTGACACACTTTTACAATATGGGACACCAGTTTGGAGATATGGGGCCTCCAAACATTCACACATCAAACTTGTAATTACCACAATGAAGCTGAGGTAAATATTTTTCTCATCCGGCAGCTTGTGCACACATTGGATCATATGTGATGTGGATGTACCCTAAGTCTCTTCATGGTGGTTAATTATAAGCTACTGCAGTGCTTGAAAGGATCTTAAAAAAAGGTTTTGGGACCCAATGTCCTCTGTAACATTTGCAAATGACCCCCTTATCTGGATGTCAGCACCACTGTGATGGCATTCAAACGGATAACAAGGGATTGATCTTCACATGGCACTGTGTCACGAGTGTTCATTTAAGAGCAAAGTCCTCTAACAAACAACTGGGGGATTTACAAAAACAGCTTCATGGGTCTCAGTGGAGGTCATTACAATGGGGATGAGCGGCGTCCCCTTATGGTTTGAAAAGCATACATTAACATAGGAGCAGAAGAAAGTGGGGACAAGAAGTATGAGTGTGTAGAGAACAAGCCAAGGAGTACGACGGCTTTAATTGGAGCCCTGAGAGCTTCGGGGAAAGGAACAAAAGTGCGTGGTTGGTTGATGGAGAAATCTAAAAGGTTTTCTGAGAAAGAGACACATGAATACAGTAAGTAGAATTGATGCCCCTCACGAAATCAGCAAGTAGCTTTTGTTGAACACAAAGACCATACTATGACTGATATACTGTTGCTTGGTTTTAATGTGCTGCAATGTGTTTGCAATGAGCTATAGGTCAGCTACTGAATGTACTTTAACCTTGCCATAACATTTCTATAATGTAAATGTCTGCGCTCAATTTATTAGAATCCTTGTAAAGGTCAACATTGGTGTGATCATGGACACAGACCTGGAATTCAAAGACAGCCTATCACCTTGAGAATATGTCAGATTAAAGGAAGTATATCGGCTCAGAAAAATAACTTCTATTTCCAATCTCAACAGTGACTTCTCCGGCTTTTTAAAAATATGTTCAACCGCAAGCGCTTGGAGCGCCAGGACAAAAAAAGTGTTCCGAAAAAAAGACGCTGGTTGCAGAGCTTCTATTTGAGTGTGCATCATACTCCTCATTAGAAACAAATGGAAAAAAAGGCTATGGCACTCTGTGGACACAGGCCCTAATGCATGCAACTCTGCACACATGTGTTCCAGGCCTGCTTCTCCATGGTGAGTAAAATTGACCTTGCAAATTCTGCTCTGACGGCGCCTGAACACACAGCTGCAATGACCTGCAAGGTCATTTAAAAATGTATCTGATTTAAGACATAATGCCCTCATACTCAAAATGAACTGAGGTGTATTGCTTTCATTTTGTATGTATAAAAGACATGAAAAAGTGGATTTTGTCAATTTAAATTCAGATATCCCTATCACCAGGCTTGAAGAATGATGGAAAACATGTTACTGGTATTCTGCTAAAGCTAACTGCTAAACCTTAGGCCATTGTATCATTGCGTCTCTATTCTAGGATGGTTGATATGGTAAAAGCCCTATTTGATAAGAAATACAGTTAATATATCATTATTTTGCCTGGGCAATACACTTGTAGCCTTAGTATTTTTCTATCAAAAACATTTCTCAGATTCTGAGAAATGTCTTTTCAAAGCACTTTTCTAAACAAAAGTGTATTTCTTTACAGTTACGTAATCAGATTACTGATACAGTTTAAAACAAGTGGGAATCATGAGTTTCCAGTTCTTCATGGCATCACTTTTTTGTAATCCACTTAAATGAAAGCCATTTTACTGATATTATTTCTATATTTATTTGGCTTAGAGTCCTGAGGTAATTGAAAAGTAATGGAGAGTGATCAGTTTGTATTCCTGTGGTATTGGGATACTTAGATTAGTTTAATGATTACATTTGTAAATTAATTAGCAATTGTAATGGTATATTTTTTAAGTAATCCCTCCTTTCCTGCCCATCACTGAGAAAAGATAATTAAATAGTTCAAGGAACATAAAAACTCTAAAATATGTAATAACAGTCGAAGCAATTCCCCCGTAGTAAAATTTGCTAGACAAGAATGTTTAACAGTTGGTGAAACACATTATTGTGGAATTCAAAACCCATCAACTTAACTGACTTGTGCGTTGTTAGTGTGAGTAGATCGATGTGAGCATTTTCCCGCTAACAACTTCTCTTGGTGCTGTCAGACACTCTGTAGAGGGAGGAGGGTGCAGAGTTTATATTATTTTTCTGAGGCTGTTCATAACAACTATTGATTCATTTAGTTTCTGCTTGGTTTGGCTCAAAGCTATGTCTACGGAGAGAGTTAATGTACTTCTGTTGTCAAAGTTTCTTACAAAAAGTGTTGTTCTTTTTTTTTTTCTTTAACTTGACCCTCATTGCAGAGATTCCAACTTTTCCATTTAGTTTTGAGCAAGATATGGTATCAGTAAACTCTAACCTACCGCAGGGGTTTCAGGTCATCTCTCCTCAACTCCCAGGACTCTTGTTCATATATAAATACAAAAGCAGCCACATAGTTCTAAAGCATTTAAACAATACAATGGGCAAGGATGAATATACATTAATAATAAGCATATCTAACATCCATTGGTCACATCATAGCCTGAATGATGCTGATTAATCCCCCTGAGCTCATTCGAAAAATGTGAAACTGCTAACTCAGTGGATTATTTCGGTTCATTATTCTTTACAATAATATCCCAAATGTGGTATTTAGTTGGTTGTTGTTTTACATTTATTGTAGTACATTAGTATGTTTTGGTACACTGTTAACTCTCTATAGCCATCTGAAGGCAGCTGGTATTTGTTCAATCTGCCATCTCTGACTGGAGGTCCAAGATTATTTGGAGTCCTATGTTGGGTCCACTGACAGTCACAGATAATCCCTTGGGACCATAATAATAAAAAAAACGTTAGCTTGGCCATCTATCAAGATTTTCTCCCCTCCTGCCGCAACTTCAATCTGTTTTCCCATTCAATAATACATCCGTTATTTCTGTAATTGTGTTTATGTATAAAATGAAGCCCCTTGCTTTTATCAATAATTACCATTATTATTACTTGTACTTAATTATAACTATTTTCCTAGATATCATAAGACCCTTTTAAATGGACCTGATATCCTCTGTCAACCCTAATGAAAAGGCTCCATTTGTGTTGTCTTATGTGTTACTTGATCTCAGAACTGTTTACAGACCTCTGGTCACAGTGTGGGCCAATCTCCTTCGAGATTATTGATTGATTGATTGATTGAAAAGTTTATTAACAGCTTGTATATTGGGTACAGTACAGTACAGCTCAAAACATACAATTGTTAAGGGGATGCAGACCAGAGAAAGACTTTTGTCTTGTTTACATCAGGGTCCCCCATTTCCAATTCATCATATCATTTAAGACATATAAAACATATTTGACATACAGATGGCTTATTTACAATTAACCTTTGATGACTTCACATGCACTCTTCATAAGCAATTTTCGAGGACCGGTGTTCCTAAACATGAGATGACTTATCGTGGGGATTCAAATTATAATAGAAGTACTACATCAAGGAGTGGTTGGCCCTATTCCCCTGATTTAAAAATAGTAGAGATTAAGGCCCATTCCCAAACCGCCCCCTACACCCTACCCCTCCGTTTGCGCGTTCACGCGGAGGGTCCGCCATATTAAGGGCTGTTCCAAAGCAACGAGTGTGGAACGGTGTGGAGGGGGAGTGGGCTATCAAGCCCTCAAACAGCGAGTCTGCAGCGATGCTGACTTGAGACCGGTCTCTACCTGACCGGAGTCACGCTGTGTGTGTCCGTCGGGAAACAAGCTGTTAAAAAGTAGTTACAGCAAACATCCACTGATAAACTGCGATGTTAACAACCTCATGATAACCTCATATGTTTTAACTTAGGATCATACCTGTGTTTAGTCTAGAAAAAGGTAAAATTGTGCATTTTATTATAAAGTTGTGTAGCCTATATTTACAGACCGTTGCAAACACTAAGAAGCTTATCAGGTTTAAAACTAAAAGAGCTTTGAAACACAATGAAAGATGTTTGGAGTTTTATTTGAGTTATTCATTTAAACTTTTTTTCTAAGAGATGCTGATTTGAAACCGTTGTTACATACAGTTACGGCATTTCCTGTTTCTGCCGGAGAGAGGGGAGGCCGTCCCAAAGCTTGCTGCTGTATTTACTCCATCCATCTGACAGAGGGAGCCTTGTTGAGCTGCGAGTGTGGAGACGGAGTTCACTCCATCACGGAGGGGTAGGGTCGAGGGAGTGGTTTGGGATTGGGCCTTACTGTTATCAGAGTTCTAAACACCTGTCGTCAGGCTTTCTTTTACCCTTTATCAGACACCTGGTCCTGCTTCTTTCTGCATAGAAAGACGTCTGTGAAGAGCAAAGCCTGGCGAGGTAGACACGCAACCTGGACATTGTCAACCTCCTCACCATATCGATGACACTCTACGGTGAGCTGTACCCTTGGGTGTTTTTACACCTGTAGGAGATTTCTATTATCCATATGTGAGCAAAGAGTAAACAATATTCCACACCTTACCTGGAACCCAGGAGACGTTCTCTCAGCCCACTCTGCTGCCTACGTCCCGAACAGGAGCTCCGTGCTTGGGATTCGTCCAACTGTTACCATGGCAAATTGCCAGCATCTGGTCCGTGTCTTGACCCAGTCAGGATAAAAATGAAACACATACTTTATCTCTTATTTTTTTAACTTTTGAGCTGAACACAAAGTCCCACACATTATGTTAAACCATCTGGATGTTAAGACAACCAATGTCCAGTGGGACATTAAAAGCAGGCTTTATTTGACAGGAATGGAGTGCAGCCCAAATTGGATATCAAAGTATTTTAGATGCAGTATGCCCAAGATTACCACTTTGCCTTGGCAAGAAAGACTTTGCAGATAGGTTGATGTGACAACAAATATTATTAGGCTAATAAGTAAGAAAGGCATGTCTCCAAAATGTATGTGAATGTTAATTTATACAAGACAGAGAGGTAAATAAAAAGCATCATTAGTGCATTCACTGCTTCTACTGCAGGGCATCACTAGTATTTGTTTGGTTGTTTGCCACACCCTTCCTACTGTATTATAGCCCTCTATGGTGATTTGTACCACATGGCAGCTTAATGATATCTGTAGTACCTTGCTCTGGTGCCCACAGCATGACCTAATGTTTGTGTTCCTCCTCTTTTGAATTTCCTCTTCTGAATGTCATGCACACACAGGTTTTTATGCTTTTGTGAAAATAAGTAAAAATATCATTTTTTCCCCACATTGCAAAGCTTGATTTAATGGTATAACCAGTGGGACTTAAAAAGGGGCCATTGGTAAAGGGATAACGCTCAACCTCATCAAAAGAGCACCTTATGAAGCTACAACGAACATGTTTGACCTTAACGTCCAAAGGCTGACAACCAGACAGTTTGAAAGAAAATCTCAAATAGACGCTGTTGAAACAGAGAGCCCAGTGGAATTCAAGCTAGTTACTTATGATTGTGACAAATTGCCTTCAGAGGAGGTCTTGGTCTCTACACATACAGTAGCAGCAGGTCAATACCCACCATGACCTCGTGGTTTCTGATTAATGGTTTGGTTATAGTGCAAGCAAACACCTCAGAATTGTGACCAAAAATACATTTGTATTTAGCCATTGGATTTTTGTAAAATGTATGCACATATTTAAGACATATTTTTTCAAAAACTTTAGAAATAATATATTTTGTATAGGGTTGCAATATTGTGTTTCTTTAACAGACCCTTATCTTGGACCCATAAGGTCACTATGGTGTCCCTGGAGTTGGAAATTATGTTACTCTTATTCAATTCAGCCCCAAAGGACAAAAGCCAGACCACGACAGATTTCCCAATAAAAGTGAGCTGTAGCATTTTACAATATTCTGTCCCCAACCGCTCGATATCAAGAGGTTTAAACTAAATATAACTCAACACAGCAGCATCAGAGACAATGATAAACAGCCTTTGAGGCAGAATTGAAGGTAAGGAATATGCTGATGTGTTGGAGCTATATATATATCTCTTTATACAATTTAATAGTTTAACATTTATTTTCTTGCTGTTTATAGTGTTTATTATTATCATTTATTTATATGTATTCTTAGTTAGTGTCATAAGTTAAAGTAGTTTCTATGCTTTTATTTTGAAGGCATGTTTTGGGCACTGGG